TCTATTTCATTTAGCTTTTTTTTTTCCTGGCTATTTCTCTTGCTCTTTGTTTTGGTGCATGTTTCTCTGTCTCCCATTTGGCTGTCTCTCTGTGTTTGTTTCAGTGTATAATGGAGATCTGCTATGTATCCTACTCTTGGTAGGGTGGCCTTATGTGGTAGATGTCCTGTGGGACCCAGTGATACAATTTCTTTGATCACTTGAGCTGGGTACTCCAGGAATGTTCCTTGTGTGGGTTGTGTGTGCCCTCTTGGTGTATTAGAACCTTGAGGCCACTCAGCAAAAGTCTCAGGGTACACCAAAGCCAGTTTCCACTTGCCTAGGGCCTTGGTACCTTTGATGTGGGGTGAGGTCTCAGGAAGTTGTCAGGATGGAGCTAGTAGAATTCATCAGGCAAAATCAGATTATTGATTTGTTCCTGTGGAGGGAGGGATTAACAGAAGAAATGTGGTACCTGAAGGTTGTGAGAGAAGACAGTTCTTGCCCTGAAGCCAGACAACTCAGTTTCTCCCTGTGTGTCTCTAGCACCCCTCAAGATTGACCGGAATTCCTGGACGGTTTCTTAAGAAAGATTGCAAAGCAGGCCCAGGCTGTAGTTGCCACTGATAAAAGATGACCCTTGCCTTAAAGCCACAAAACTCAGTTTATCCGTGTTTATCTCTGGCACTCTCTGAGCCTGACTGGAATTCCTTGACACAGTTTTTCAAGAATCACAGGCCTAGGCTGGTTGTTGCTGACAGTTTCTCTCTGTGTGCAAGCTAGTTAGGGTGGGATCTGAGTAAAGGTGGAGCCAGTGTAGCTTATCAGGCCACTGTCCTGTGTGGAGAGGGCTTAAACCAGGAAAGATGGTGCTTCCTGGGCTGTGCAGTAAGAGGACTCACTACAGGAACTTTGGAGGTTGTCCCTCCAGCCCTTGTCTCAAAGCCACATGACTACGTCTCTCCCATGACTCTGGCATCCCCTGTGCCACCATCCCTTTGCTGGAGTCCAGGGTGAGTGCCTAGAGTGAGAGTTTTTGCTTTGGGTCTTTAAGAAGATGCTGCCTGCATTTCCAACAGCATTACATTTCCCCAGGTGGACAGAATCCCTGCTGATTTTCATAGCCAGATGTTATATGGGCTTCTTTGCCAAGGGCATATGGGGCTGAGAACCCTCACTCATCGGGGATGACCTGTGCAGCTGAATATACCTCAGGATACTCAACTGTAGCAGATGGGTGTGGGGCCAGCCTACTTTATGTCTCTGTCCCTCCTATCAACCTTGTTGTGCCTTCTTATTTATATCCTTAGTTATTGGACTTCTATTCAGCTACTCTTCAAATGGTTATCCAGGTTGATCATTCTATAATTTAGTTGTAATTTTGATGTGGTCATGGGAGTAGGTGAGTACTATTTCCACCCACTCAGCCATCTTGGACCTCCCCTTTTTGCATCGTTTTTTTTTTTTTTTTTTTTTGCATTATTTTTTATTGACTGCTTTTCCCCCTCTGTCTATAGGTCAGATTTTCCTGTTTAGCAATTTTTGATTGTATACTGGAGATAGTGGTTGATATCTTGTAGAGACCCTGTATTCTGTTATCTTCTTAGTAGTCAATTCAGTTACTGGCCGATCACCTTGAACCCATGCATGTTTGTTTTTATGTTTTGTTTGTGTTCAAGGATGTTTCTTTGCCTCTGTTACTTTATAGAACTCAGTCTCCAAACCTGAGACTTATGTCGGGTCTTGGTTTTAGGCTTTGTTAGGCCAGGTTTATGGAGGCCTTCCTCTAGTCAGGGTCCTCACTCAAAAGGGTATGCTTTCCTGAAGTCCCAGCTTAATATCTGGGTCATTAACAATGTGCTAACGAGGCTTCATCACTGAGGCTGGGTTGAAACTTAAGCATTCCTTAGCACTGTTCTTCTTAATCCTGTAGGAGCCACTCTCTGGCAAGATTCTGGTAGTCTTATCCTGTGCATATAGTCTTCACTGGGCACTCCATCACATAGACTTTTCAGCCCTCCCACCTCCTGCATTGTTCCCCCATGCTCTGCTTAGATTCTGTTCCATTGTCCTGTGGTTAGGAAACTGCCCTCTCAGAGAGTTGTGATCATGAAGTGCATTTTATGAGTTTTCCTTCTTTGAGGACTACAGTTTTGCACTTGTTTACATCCTGAAAATGACAGCTTCCCCTTTTTTTTTCCAGTCTAATGGTTGTTTATGAAGTGAAAGCTTGTCTGCTGTTGATTACTATGCCAGAGCTGGCAGTTGCCCTGGTGCCCTGAAGTCTGCTCTGGATGGGTTAACATCCAGGTTCAGTGCTTGGTTTTTATCTTGGAATTTTCCTCTACCACCATCTTAGGGATTCCCCTTGTCTCTCTTTTGAGTTGAATTCTCTGTTCTCGGGAACTTACATTTTCTTAATTTTGGTTGATTTCTTTAGGTACAGGAACCTTCTGTAGTTTACTGGAAAAGGGTGGCAGAAAGGGAAATTTTTTGAGGCTTGCATGCCTGAAAATGCCTTAATAAACCATTGCACCTGATCGATAGACCGAGTAGAGAATTCTAGGTTGAAAATAATTTTCCCTTATAATTTTGGGCATTGTTTGATTGTGTACCTGATATCATGTGAATCTTTTGCTTGAAATCTTGAAACTTGTTTTTACTCTCTGGAAGTTTTTAGGGTCTTCTATACTATTGTTCTGGAATTCTCTCAGTCATGTGTTTTGTATGGGTCTGTTTTCCTCCATTGTGTGTATGCTTAGTGGGCCTTTTAAATCAGTTCTGAGGGATTTTCTTGAAGTATTTCTTTGATTTTACTCCTCCCACTCCAAACCTCTTATTGCAAATTGTTCTTCCTAGACTAGTTCTATAATTTTCTTTTCTCTCTTTTCTATCTCTTTGTATTTTTTCTTTACTATGGAGGGATTTCTTTAACTTTATCTCCCAACCCTTATGTTGTATTTGTCATTTATGTTATATATTTAATTTCTAAGAACTCTTTTTTTATTTTTTTCTGCTTTAAAAAAGCAGAAATGCTCCCTCTGCTTTAAAAAAAGTGTTTTATTATTGTTTCATAGATCTTTCCTTATCTCTGAAACTACAGGTGATTGTTTTTGAGATTGTTTATGTTTCCTCCAAGTTGCTTTTTTCCCCATGTTTGTTTGGCCTCTGTCTTTAGTGTTATATACTCTCCTCTGGGGGTATGGAGATGAGTTCTTGGTCATTTGGATCCCAGGTTTGTGCAATATAGTGCCAAAGTTCACACCTTTTACTTTAACCCATGCGTACGCTAGGAGATACCATGAGCTATGGAATATGGAGCCTGGTTTCCTTGGAACCTCTTACAGCTGAGGAATAAATAGGAAGTCTCAGGACTGGAGGATTCTAATTCGCATGTTGTGGCCTAGGAGTTGTTAAATCTTGGACTTTTCTTGGTGGGGTCTGGGAGAAAGGTTGTCGCTTCCACAGTGCAAAGGTCATTATTCTTGACCTTAGGAACTCTCTGAGGATTCTGAGGTGTGTGTTCCCACCCCAGACAGACTAGGGGGCTTCAGACACCTTGAGAACTAGATAGAGGGGCACTGACAGTGCTTGCACCAGCGAAGGAAGATGGATAGACCTACAGCTCAGTGTGGACCAAAGGCTTGTGTTCATTCTTGGAGAGCCCTGAGAACCTATGATTTATGGAGCAAAGAAGGCAATCCCTGAGTTTTTGAGAGCCCTGGTACCTGCCTACTCTGATACTTGTCCACAATCTCTCTTTCCCAGTCCTAGAGCTGGTGATCTCTTCCTGGAGTGGGAGGCCTCCTAGCCTGGGCACAGTGTAGGTGCAGGTGTGCCCTTGCTCCAGCTCCTCCTCCTGCTCTATCTTGTGTGTATCCTGCCATATTGCTGCTTCTATAGAAAACCAGGGAAGCTCCTGCTTCTCCATGGTCAATATCTAGGAAGGCTGGGTAGTGGGCACTAAAGAGTGTTTGTTAAGTGGACACATGGGTAGGAAAAGACCCCAACTTTCTTGCCTTTGGCCAATCTGAGTCAGCTGATGGTAAAGGCCCCTGGCAGAACTCTACCTTTTGCTTTCCCTAGGCCCTCATTGCCACAACCCAGGCCTTCTTTTCACCAGATTGTGAGCATCTTCATTTATGTTGCTGAGGCAGAAGTAGAAAACCATAGCTCTGGGGGAGCCTTACTCATGGTCAGGCATAGCAGTACATTTATAATCACAGAGAGGTGAAGAAACTTGACATCCATATAGCCAGCACCATGGTATACCTGGACCCAGCTTACCTGACTATGAGCTTGTGAAGCCCTTCTGGTTCATAGTAAGCCCAGTGTTTAGGAGAGAGGGCATGCAGAGGACCCTGGGTGGAGTGAAGTTCCTGTTGCAGTACAGAGTACATTCTTTGTTCCCTCACCACCTTTTCTTTCCCTGGAGACTCTAAAGGGCAGAGAAGGGGCTGCCCACATTCCCTTTGCATCCTCCTGTCATCCTCGAAGTTGGGGCAGAGTTTGTTTTTTTCCTTCCCTTCTTTGTTTTTCTTTATCTTTATCTTTTTCTTTTCTTCTTTCTTTCGAGAGGAGAAGGAGGGTAGAGAGGAGGATAGAGAGAGTGGGGGAGAGAGAGACAGACAAACAGACATCAATTGGTTGCCTCTTTTACACTCCTTGACTGGGGATGAACCCATAATCTAGGTATGTTACCTGACCAAGGATTGAACTGCCACCTTTTGGTGTGTGGGATGATGCTCCAACCAACCTATCCCACCCAGACAGGGTACCTCTGAGTTACTTTCTAAGGGCTCAGAAGGCCCTCTCTCTCTCTCTCTCTCTCTCTCTCTCTCTCTCTCTCTCTCTCTCTCTCTCTCCACCTTCTATACTTTCTGTGTGATTCCAGTCAAGGTGTGGGCTGATGGCCTGCCATTTGGAACCAGCACTTTCAGAATGGGTGTGTGGGATTGCCCTTCCTGTCCCCCATGTTAGGCCATATTACCAGGTTCATGGGAAGCTCCCTATTTTTTTAGCTGCAGATCTGGGACACAGCTGGCCAGGAGCGATTCCGCACCATTACTCAGAGCTACTACCGCAGTGCCAACGGGGCCATTCTTGCTTATGACATCACCAAGAGAAGCTCCTTCCTGTCAGTGCCTCATTGGATCGAGGATGTGAGGAAGTATGCAGGCTCCAATATTGTGCAGCTGCTGATTGGTGAGCTGGGGGGAGTGGGGTGGGGGTGGGCAGGGTTTCTTGGGGCCACAGATCCCATCTGTTTGTCTCAGTTTCTCTCTCCTTTTTAAACAAAGGGCAAGCCAGAATACAGAGAGGGACTGAGCTTGTCCTGGTAGGAATGGAGCCAGAACTTGAACGATGATCTTGCAAATTCTGATTCTGCTAATCACTTGTAAAGTTATATTCAAAGTTGGAATTAGAAGAAGGAAGAAAGGAAGCTAACATTTGCTTTGTAGTGTGCATGTCTGCACGGTAGTTAACACTGGTTAAATTTTCTTTGTGTCTTTGGATTTAGTTCCTATAATCTGGCTACTCTTTATTTGTCAAAGCATGGAGTTGAACCTAAGAGAAGTGAATACTTTCTCCCAGTTCACACAGCCTGAGCATATACGAGTATATGTGAGATTTGAGTTCAGTTCTACTAATTGTAATTCAGTGGAGTAGAGCTCCTCAAATGTTTGCATGCTTCCAAAGCCTTAAAGCCTTAAAGATGCTGGGCACCACCTTCAGAGCATCTGATTCAGGAGGTCTAGTTGGGGGCCTATGAATGTACATCTCTAACAAGTTCCCAGGTTATGCCTGTGACGTCCATGTTGCTGGTGCTGCAGAGGGATGCAGCTTTTTCCCTTTTCCTCCTACATAAACTTCCCAGACCTGGGCTCAAGAAGCTTTGGATCATTTGTATGGTTCCTGGGGTCCTCACCCCAACAGTCAGGCTGATTTTTTCAGAGATTGTACAGATGGGGCCTGGATATGTCTCCATCTGGGAAAAGGGTGGCATTTGGTTCCATACGTGCCTTCCATAGCCTTCCTGGACTAGGGTGTAGAAGTACTCAGCAAAGCTTGACTACTTGGGCAGTAACAGAGCTTTCCTTCTACATCCTTACACTTCCTTTTTATCCAGGACATTTAAAATATAATATTTTATTATTGAGTATTTTACACAAATACAAAAATAAAATAGTGTAATGAACCTCAGATATCTATTACCCAGCTTCAACACTTAGAAACTTATGCCCTGTTTCATCTCCACCCTCATCCCCTCCCTCCCTTATATTATTTTTCAGGTAATTTCTGAATTACATGTTTTTCATCTGTAGTATTCCACCATAAATCAATAAAAGATAAAAATATATAACAACAATATCACTTTCACATCTAAAAATATTGACATATCCTGAACAAAATCAAGTAGCTGTGTTTAGATTTGTAATTTCTCATAAACAATATATGCTATTTTTTTTTAGTTTGTTGAAATTAGGATGTTTTACACATTGAAATTAGTTAATACATCATTTAAGGTTACCAAAGAAATTTTAGGTATTTATAGACAGTTACCTATCTTTCTTTGTTCTCTTTATAATCAATCACATTGCAAAAGTCAACCACTTAGAAATTAAAAAAATTCTGTTAGTGATTGGGTCAAGGAGCAGTTTACCACATGGTTTAGAATGTACTGAAATATCTCACCCCTGTAGGAGAAGCCAAAGGTGTATTCTCAGGTAGAGTGGTAGTCTGTGTTCTTACTATTAGAAAAGCAAAATAACCAAGAACCACAGTCCTAGAGAGAATAAAAATATTTCAAAGGAAAATAGAAAATAAATGATCATAATAAAATTTTAGCAAAAACAAAATTTAGCAGCACCAGATTTCTTCCACATTTATAGAGTACCTACCAAGTACCAATTATTTTCATATTTGTTGTATCATTTAATCTACTCTGCTGAAGATTGCATCATAGACCGGGAAATTGAGACTCAGATGAAGTGACTTTCCTAAGTGATAGGAAACCAGAGTTTCTACCTAGGTTTTCTTCTAGCTTTAAAGTATCATATTCTTTAACTTAAACTTCACTGCTTTTATTTCATAGAAAGAAGTAATAAAATATATAAGCCTTTGAGAAAGATTTTTTTTAAATGAGAAACTAAAGGATAGAATAACAGCTTGAAAATAAAAAGGTTTATTTATTTATTTGATTTAATCTTTTTATCTTCATTGTATTTTTCTCCATTACCATTTAGTCCCTTTATTCCCTCCCCTACCGCCCGTAACAATCACCACACTGTTGTTCCTGTCCATGAGTACTTTTTCCTTTTTTCCTCAATCTCCCTGCCCCCTAAAGGTTTTCTTTTAAAAAAGATAGATTACTGTGCACAACTGGGTTTCTCAGTTTGGCCTGACAAGTAGGACAGGGCTTTCCTTGCACCAATTGGCCTCACAAAGTTGCTCCTGGCCTTTCCCTGCAGGGAACAAGTCAGACCTTGGTGCGCTCCGAGAGGTCCCTTTGGCTGAGGCACAGAGCCTAGCAGAGCACTACGACATCCTGTGTGCCATTGAGACGTCTGCCAAGGACTCAAGCAACGTGGAGGAGGCCTTCATGAGGGTAGCCACGGAGCTGGTCATGAGGCATGGGGGTCCTCTGCTCAGTGAGAAGAGCACCGACCACATCCAGCTGGATAGCAAGGACATTGGAGAAAGCTGGGGCTGCGGGTGCTGACTGGGGTACAGGGCAGGCAGGCAGGCAGGCAGGCAGGCAGGGGCCTCTCCATCTCCTCTCTCTGGTCTGCCAAGCCCAGCCCTTCAGAGTTGGCCCTCTGTGGTACCAGTGATTCTAGAGAAGCTTGATGAAGTCCTGGAATTATTCATCCCATGGTCTGGATGCTTGATAGAAAAGCTACACCAAGGAAGGGAGAACCAGGATTCTTCTGGCAAGAGGTCTATTGGTACAGGGTACAGTGTGTGGCCCATCCTGCCAGTCAGCAGCTGTTCCCTCAGTGTTCTTCTTGTCCTAGGATAGGCCTGAGCTCATGAGTATGGACTGCAGCTGTGGAGGGGCCAGGAATGTGCTTCCCCAGCTCTATACATACTAGTTCTGACCATTTCACACCTTGTATCTGCTAAAGCTGTTGCAGCAGGTTGCTGCTTTCCAGGGATGTGGGTTGTGCTCAGGTCATTCCAGGGCCTCAATATGCAGCTTCAGAGAGTGAGAGCAACCAGCCCAATAGGCTGGTTTCTGAGCATAGTCCCAGGGAAGTCCTAACTCTTTCCAGGTGAAGAAACTTATTTCTTCACTGCCAACTCTAAGCTCATAGACATCATGGGGTCCAGTTTGCTGCCTTAGCAAGACCTCTCAAGTTTTCTGGTTTTCCATGTAGCTTCTTGTTTTCATCCACAAAAGTGTAGGGTCATGGCTCATACCCAAGTGGGTACTGTTTGCTTGCTTGGGGCCCAAAGTTTTGTCACTCGGGTTGCAAATCTAGCAAATTCTTAAGTACCAGGGTCTCAGAAACTTGGTGGTAGGGGAAATGAGATAGGAACCTGGATATTTAAGGGAAAAATAAAATCATGCATTCTTGAGGATCAGGTCTGAGAGTGTCCCTCAGGACCCAGTCTTACCTATGTGCAGAAATCTTTCCTGCTATGTTTATAGCATCAGCTCCCCCTGCCCCTCCCAGTCTATCTTATAGAGTTTTCCAAACAAAAAAGATAAGGCCTTGGTAGTTCTGGATTGGGCTATTTCACCCACCCTGGGCCCACCTGTCCTCAATAGCCTCAATAGCCTCAATGTGCTCAGGGTGCTTAGGTAAGAAGGCAGGCCAGGGCTGAGATTATTGGGGTCTTTGAAGTAGCACTGGGTTCTGTGGTGTGGCTCAGAAGATTGCAGGAAGTTCCTAAGCCAATCCCAGTTCCTCCATGTCAGCCCAGTCCAGCCCCTTTGGCCCCTCGTTGTGGGACCTTTGGAGTGGGAGCAGGGAGCAAGAAGGCTGCCTGGATTGTGTCCTCAGTGGCCTTACCGATGGATAGGTCCCAGTTGCTAGCATTGAGGGTTTGTGTCTTCCTGGCCACTCCATTTCAGTGCCTGGGTTCCACCTGCAGAGTAGAAAGTAACTGTCACTGAGGGGTTCCCTAAAGAGGGTTCCATTGAGGCCAAGGGCAAAGATTCTCCAGCCCCATGACCTCTCTGCTAGGGATTAATATTTGGGCAGGGCTGGGCATTGAACTTGGTCTCCAGCTGGAAGATAATGCTTATGAAGCCCCACCTGCTGCTTTGGGGAGGTAGGGGTACATGCAAAGGGTCTTGTAGCAGAAGTGTAGGCCTACACTCCTGTGATTGACTCGCAGCCCCAGTTCTAGCCAAGAGCATAGGTAACTGCCAGACCACTCTACCCACCAGTCTTGCAGAGCTTAGGGGAGGAGAGAGGCCCGTCTACCTCTCCTTCATATGGGTATCCTTGGCTGGCATAAGGATCCAGGGTAGGCACTGGAACAGGTAGCTGGCTGGCGATGGGCTCATTTGTTACCCTAGAATGTGAGCCATCTCCTCTTCTCTCCCCCTCTGCTCATAGGCAGGGAGGCCTGAAACCCTGCAAAGTGTGGCTTAGAAGGGGAAAAGAACAGTGGGCCTAGCCTAGGACCAGGGAGGTTTCTTCTTACTGGTAACTTCTTGCTTTACCTAGAAATCAAGGAACCACTTTGCTTCCTCCCCTTCAAAATCCCAAAATGTCAAGTATTGGGCTGAGTGGATCTCTTGCTGTCCCATCCTTCATGCATGGAGCAGCCTCACTCCAGAGGTTTAGCCTAGAAATTGGGGGTTACTTTGGGTTCCTCACTTTTTCTTCCCATACTACCACAGTGCTGTGGGCTTACCTCCACAGTGCTGTGCCCTCTGCTCCACACAGGCTCATCCTCTCACCTGGACATCTCACTGACCTTGGCTCCTGGGCTTCTAGCCTTCACTACCCCAAGCTATTCTCCTGCTGTTGTCTAAGTGTCAATTGTGAAAGGTTACTCCTGGCCCTGCCACTCCCCACCCCATCCCCAGCACCTTCCAGGGTGCCCTTGGGCACTTAGAATGTTGTCCACACTTGACCCAGATGTCCAAGACCTTCACAGCTCTATCTTGGCTTCTTTCCTGTACCTGCTTGTTCCCCAGGAGTACCCTCTTTCCAGGCTAACCCCTTCCTGTCCTCCCCCCACTTACTGACCCTACCCTTTTTGTTCTCTTATAATGCCACAAATGACCCATTTGGACATTCCTGAAAACTGACCCCACTCCAGGCTAATCTCTTGCTCATAGTACCCTCTAGCAAGAATGAGTTCTTTCCCCACCCCTTGGCCTGTGAGTTTCCTCCCCCTACTTCCTGGGCTATTTCTTATAGTCTCCAAGAGAGATGTTTTCTGGCCCTCAACTTTATGCAAATGCTAGTGCTCAGGGCCTGGCCTACAGTGTGTTATTGACTGCATGCCTTGTGAGGTCCCTACTCTATAGTGACCCATCGGGCTGGGGCCTCTCTACATCTGTGGGCTTTAGTCCTGTGATAGGGTAAGAGAAGATGGGGCAACTATTTGAGATAGGAAACAAGACTTGATTCCATTTCCTCTCCTAGCAGCCTCTGGGCAAGAGAACACTTTAATCTTTTTTTATAAATTACCTAAAAATAGGAGTAGGTGGTGCAAGGGGCCAGGATGTGGGAGACAGGGCATTGGTCAGAAGGAGAGCTTGGAAGTGTTGTGACAGCTCAGGCCTGGAGGAAGGCAGTCTGTGGTCTGGGTGAGGCTTAAGTGACATGGGCTGAGGGAGAACAAAAGGGAAGTTGATGTATTATGGTTATGGGAGTTGGACTCAGGTGGGCAAGGAACACAAATCCTGATTCTTCCTCAGAGAGGTAGTTCCCAGTCCTCCCAGAGGTGTTTTGATCCCAAAGGCATGAGCTCCAGTAGAGTTGGAGCTGGAGGAAGCTCCCAATTCATATTGAATTCAGTTAGTCTTCTCTGGGAGGGCTTCCAGGTGTAGGGCTTCAAGGGTTCTCTCAGACCTATTGTCCTGGACTGTTAGGAGTGGAGAGGGCTTTAGCTAGCCCAAGGATGCCATTTGCATTTGGGAATTTTCACATGATCTATTTATGAATATATAAATCTTTATATCAAATCTATTTTTTAAAACATGGAAAGTTGCCTTTATGGAAATTTAGCAGAGCCAGAATGTACATATTCCTAAACCATTAAGCAGTTTTCTCTAATGAGCCAGTGGCACCCAAGACTGGTTTGGTTACTTTTGAGCCCAGAGCCAGCCTAGGTGGCCACATCCCCACAGATGGTCCCACTTGCTTAGCTTTCCCCAACTTGTCTTTAGGTCTGGGGTGGAAGATGAGCCTACACACTGCCCACTACCTGTTATCTGGATCCCTGTTAAGCTCATTTTGTCCCAAGCCAGGGTGGGATCCCCTGGGCAGAGAGGTAGTCAACTGCCTAAGGGGCAGGAAGGAGCTTGGGTTGGGTCCCCTTTCTGCCAGGGATACGGTGTGTTACTTTGGGTAACTCATGGTGTCTTTCTGGGCCCAGGTTCCTTCAATTGGGTTTTGTGGGAGGAGGTTGGGAATACTGTTTGGTGATTGCCAGGGGCACCAGGGATCCCTCATACTTCTACCACCTTGTGAAGGAGGTCTGTTTCTACCCTTCCAGTGTCTGCTTTTTCAGATGAGTCAACAGACTTGGGTTGAGAGTTCTTTGTCCAAGCCTTACAGCCATAAGGAAGTAGAGCCATGTCAAAATCTAGAACCCTCATGAGGGCAAGACTGTTTTTGTTTACTGCTATATTCCAGGTGCAGAGAATGGATCTAGGCACATAGGTGCTCAAAGAACTGCTGAGTGCCTGAACTGGCTCCTGGCATCAGGAAGCCCATTAATCCACAGACCATGAAGATAACTGAGTCTGCTTTGGCCACTCACAAAAAGAGGCCTCTGTCCGCCCTGACTGGTGTGGCTCAATGGGTTAGGCATCATTCTGCAAACCAAAAGGTTGTTGGAGGTCAGTCCACGGTTGGGGATGTATAAGAGGCAACCAATCCATATTTCTCTCACACACTGATGTTTCTCTCGCTCTTTTTCTCCCTCTTTTCCCCTCTCTCTAAAAATAAAAATAATAAAATCTTTTTTAAAAAGGAGGCCTCTGCCTAAATGGTGAGATGAAGACAGCATAGCATAGCCAGGTGGTATTGTATTTGCCCTGCCAAGACTAGTTCTGAGACAAAGTGACATCTTAGGACTTAGACCAACCTCCATTAAAATTCCAGGTCTGCCCTGACTAGTTGCATTATCTTGGGCAAGTCATTTCTCTACTCAGTGCCTCAGTTTCTTCAGATGTGGGACACTCATTCCTGTTCTGTGTGCACCCAGGGAAGCTACAATGACATCCTGGGTGGCAGGGTCTTTGTAACCTGAAGGGCCGGAGCAGGACAGGGGGCTCCTGTTTTTGTCTCTGTCCCAGGTGGTTGAGAAGGCTGCTGAGTTCCATTGCCTGAATGAGGAAGGCCAGGAGCCCTGGAAATCCCAGGTGCGCCACACTCCAGACACTTGCCAACCACTTGTCCCAAGGAGAAGAGATACCTGTTGTCTGAATACCTATAACTGGGTCCATCTGAGAGGGGCACCCCATACCCATCCCGGAGGCTCTGATGTGGGCCAGGCTGTCCTAAGGGCCCTTCCTTTCCTCTGCCCACACCAGGGACTACCCAGACTCTGGGGGAAAACCCACAGATCCAATCATGGACTTTAAAACAGGGAAACAGATCAAGGATCCAGAGAATCCCTGCTCAAAGCCCCCACTGAATTCACTCCTGAGCCTTCCAGCTCTCGGACCAGGCCAGGCCTGGCCTGGGTGCTGGGTCCCAGAGCTCTGACCTGTTTTGCCACCAGGGCTCCACTCCCAGAGCTCCAATCTCAACCCCTCTCAGCACCCTGCTTACATTTGCCCAGGAGCTCGGCTAGGGGGTGGGGGGACCATCAGAACTTCCTTCAGAGAAGCCAGGACACAGGGTATTCCTGCCCAGTTATATCCCCTCTCCTTATCCTCACGGGTCTCCTGTCATCTTCCCCATGCAGCTACTCCCACTCCACCCAGCCTCTGCCTGACTCATGCCTCCAATCTCCACATCTGACTGTAGGTCACAAACAAACCAGGTCACCCACTTGCTCAGACCTCTGCACAGTTCCCTGCTGCTCTTGGTCTCCTTCAAGAGGGTCCCCAGAACTGCCCATGGCCCGAATGCATTCCCCCTGACACTTGCCATCCATAGCCACACATGACTCTGCCATTTCCAGACTGCTGCTTCCAGGCAGGCAGGCCATCCCTGACCAAACTCCCTGCTGTGTACTGGGTCTCTTCAAGCTCCAGGACTTCCTCTTCCAGCCCCAGATAGCACCCTGATACAAAGGACAACTTCCTGGTCCAAACACTCCCAGACAACCCCAGGACCCCTCTGAGAATGGGGAGACCCCCCTGCCACTGCCCTAGGGGCCACAGCCTCTGTTGTCATTTCTTCCCACTGAAAAGGAAAGTCTCAGCTTGGATAGCAGGTTTGGATCCAACTGGTGCTTCCTGGACATCAAAGGTGTAGTTTCACACAGGCTGCCTAGGGGGCACAATGCCCACTGGGCTCAGCTCCCAGACAGAGCTGGAAATTAGTCCCAGCCCTCCCCCACCTGGGCTGTGTGTTTTGGGACACTCGCCCCTGTTGTGATTCCGAACCTCATATTCTAATGCAATCATCACCTCAGTACACAGAACCCAGGGAACAAGAAGCTGAAGATATGGAGGTTTCCCTTTCATATCAAATTCAAAGCTGCCCATTCATCATGACAGTGATGCTGGTATCTACCAGTGAGCTAGAAGGGTCTGTGTGCTGGGCTGAGGGGGAGGAGTGGTCATTAGGAAGCAGGGACTTGGGAGAGGATATCAGGAGAGGAGGTGTCAAGAGGCCCACAAATTAGCTCCTGGGAGCGTGTTGAGTGGGGCCATCATGCTCTAGCTTTCTGTTTAAAATGAGGTTCAGGCCAGTAGCTGGCATTATCCAGGAGCTTGTAGAAAATATAGAATCTCAGCATCCACCTCAGGGTTCCTGAGTCAGAATCTAAATTTTAATAAGATCTCCATGGGTCTGTGTGCATGTTACAGTTTGTGGAACACTGGTCTACACAGCATGCCCACCCCACTAGGGTGGTCCAAGGGCAGGTCTTAACATTTCAGAAGTTTTTAGGTTTTTCCTAAAAAAGAAATCCTAAAAGATCTTGCCTGTTTACCTCTGTGGAAGTATTTTCCTCCTTTTGTATAAATGCAGACTTGGTATGTGGACCTCAAGGACAAAAGTTGGTGTTTTGCTTTTTGACAAGGCTCAGGCTCTGACTCGGACCAAGATAGACAGAGACAGGGCCCATGGCAACAGTCAGTGGAATGCCCTGGGTCAACCTAACACGTAGTCTTCTTTCATTCAAACTCTGACTATCTGGCAACATTTGAACTATCATCTGTGATAGGGATTTTTTTTTTTTTCTGGATCCCTGACCAAGCTGTATGCAACCCCCCTCTTTTCCCCAGAAAACATGTAGATTCATATATAGACCCAAATATGGCACATCATCAGGGTTTAGCAGACAATAGGGTAAAGACTGCCCAATTTCCATGTCTAGGATCTTCAAATTTCTGTAGAATGGTAACACAATCTGAGATGATAGAGTCTGATATTTATTGAGAAGTTTTTATACTACTTCACAAGAGGGTTTAAGCACCTTGCCTCATAATGCCAGTGGTGGAGATAAGATCCGAACCCTGGACATGAGGCTCGGGAATAATGCCTTAAACCCTTGAAATCTTGTGAGGGAACCTTGGGTTTTGTGCCTGAGACTGTGGCTGCAGCAACAATGACCATGTGCTCAGGTTTAGAATTGACAACGTGGACATGATTCTAAGTGGAACTTTCTTAAAATAGCACTGTGTGGGGAATCTATCCAAGGAATGAATCATAAAAACAATAAAACTTCTATGCCCAGGAATATCAGTGGCAGCCTTATGTGGCCAAAAACGGGCCCACATACTAAACCTGACAAGCTCAGGGGAGGCCTGCATGGTGGACCTTACAAATTCAGAGACTGAAAGTAACCACATAGGATGGTCTAAACATAAAAAATTCCTAACTGAAAGTGAGTTGTAGCAGGTAGTCATGTCTTAGCCCTGTAGCTTCTTAAATAAAGGTCAGTGTTTACCTTAAGTAAGCATGTCTATTGTTTTTTTGCATCTAAGATAACATACCTTTGAAATGTCAGAATAATCTCTTCTAGGTTCCTCAGGGCACAATGTAGGCACCAGAGCTGGAGAGCACAGAACCCCTCATTGTTATTTTGTTTCCTGCATACCATCTTTGTGTGCTATATAAATGTTAATTATTAACTGTCACCCAAGAGAAGTTTGTGTCTCTTCATTTTACTTTTTTCCAATCCCAGAGATTTTTCTGCTTTGCTTTCTCCTGCTCTTTTAATTTACCCAGTGTAACTCTCCTTTTATTGTAACATATAAAGTAAGCTGCAAAACTGCCATTCTCCAGAGTATTTTCTCAGTCTGTTGAGATTTTGCTCTCCAGTGATTGTCAATTTGGCTCAAATAAACTCATAAAAGTTCTCTACAGGTTTGGACATTTCTTATATAGATATTTACTTTGCATAGTGAGCAGGGTTCCAATGAAGACCACGCAGGACCACCCTATGGACCTGGACTGGGTGCTAGGTCCCAGCAGGGGCCTATTGTGTCCCCAGTTTCCTTGCTTTGCATCAAGTGAACTTGAGTGAGTTTGTCTTGGAATTCTGGACCTACCTGTTTAGGCCCTGACTTTATTGGAGCTGTACTTAAAAGAAAATCCTCAAGGTGGCACTAGCAGGGGTGTCCAACCTTTTGGCATCTCTGGGCTGCACTGGAAGAGTTAACTTGGGCTACACATTGAACACACAAACACTAACAAAAACTAATAAGCAAAAAAAATAAAAGTTTTAAGTGAATTTACGATTTTGTGTTGGGCCACATTCATAGCCATCCTGGGCTGAATGTGACCTGCACAAGCCGTGGGCTGGACACTTCTGTAAGGATAAGCATTGAGATAACCCAGCTGAGGCTAAGGGTCAATTGAGATAATCCAGGGACAGGAAAAATATTATGCTAAGTGAAATAAGCCAGTCAGTGAAAGACAAATACCATATGATCTCATGTACAAGAGGAACCTAATGAACAAAAATAAACTAATGAGCAAAATAGAACCAGAGGCATGGAAACATGGAACAGACTACAGTGACCAGAAGGGAGGAGGAGGAGGGATAAAGGTGGAAAGAAGGGGAAGGGGCTAGTTAAAGAACATGTATGAATGACCCATGGACACGAATAGCAGTGTGGGGATTGACGGTGGGTGCTGGGGGTGGGATGGGCAGAGGAGGGAAAAGGGAAAATTGGGACAACTGTAATAGAATGACAATTTTTTTTAAAAGTAGAAAGCTGTTTCCAATTGTACCCATTGAATTCAGTTTATTTAATAAACTATTCAAATGCAAATAAAAAAATTTGGGTGGCTGTTTTTTATTTTGGCTTCTCAATGGGAATTGCTTACCGAGAGTCTGAACCAAACCCTTTGCTAGATAAATTAGAGTCTGAACTTGTTCAGCTCTGAAGATTAGGGGCATTTACTCTCTCCAGCTTGAATTTTGGGTATTCTGGGTGACAGAAACTATATGGAGGTTTCCAAGGGTACCCCTGAAGACTAACAGGACCCCATAAGGAATTCCAACACAACTGTAATCAAATGATTAACTCACCTGGGAATGCACACATAAAGGCTGTTTATCTAGTTCTCTGCATCCTCAGGGTTGTATCAGGCAGCTGGGGAGAGAAACTGAGTCATGTAAGGGGGTTGGAGCAATTGGTGGTGACACCCTCTTGGAGCTCAACCAGTAAACAGCACACTTCAATACACTTAGGAATTTGTTCAGACTCTGCAGATCTCAAAAGATGCCTCCAAGGCCAACAAGCTCCCAATCCCCATAAATGCTCCTGCAGGTGTACAATTCATAGGGAGTCTTTACTTGCAAGTACTTACAGAAATGGTAAGGTTTTACTATAAGTGAAGAT